AAAAATTAATAAGGGCATGATAATCTATTCCATGAATTCCTGGAAGAAAACTTCCCAAGTCTAGAGAAGCACTCATTCAGACCCAAGAACTACAAAGGATCCTAAAAACAGAATCAACATAAAAAAATCTTCTCCACAGCATCACAGCCAGATTGACCAAAACCACAAGATACTAAAATTGGCAAGAGAGAAACTTAAGTTCCTACAAAGGCCATCCCATAAGGCTAACATTGGACCTTTCACCAGAAACAATGCAAGAAAGGAAAGAACAGGAAGATGTATTCAAAGTGTTAAAAGAGAAACTATTTCAACCAAGATTACCTGGCAAGATTATCCTTCAAATGGGAAGAAAAGATAAAAACATTCTCAAATAAACAAAACCTGAAAGAATTGACAAACACCAGGCCAACTCTTCAAGAATTGACAAACACCAGGCCAACTCTTCAAGTATTTCTAAAGGAAGTGCTATACCCAGAAAATTAAAGAGAAAGAAATAAGAGAACAAAAAACAACCAAGAAAATGGCCAACTTATGGTAGGGAAGAATCCAGAAATATTGATAATAACACTGAATGTTAATGGATTAAATTTTCCAATCAAGAGACACAGGTTGAGTGAATGGATTAAAAAACAGAAACCCTCTATCCGTTGCCTATAAGAAAGGTACCTCATGGATAAAGACATACATAGCCTAAGTAAAGGCCTAGAGAAAGGTATTCCATGCAAATGGAAACTCAGAAGAGCTAGAGTTACAATACTGATTTCAAACAAAATAAGCTACAAGACAAAAACTGTAAGAAGAGACAAAGAAGGGCATTATATAGTAGTAAAAGGGCTAATTCATTAAGAAGATATAACACGCGGCCCTTATCGAAGCTGCAGCTGCTTCCGAAGCGTAGAGGCTGTCGTCAGAGGAGCCCGGAGTGAGTTTTCCCCAACTGCCGCCATTGGGCTTGCTATGGCCGGTCTGCAACATTGTGGGGAAAGTGCCATGGAAGCGTCCTCAGGGACAGGCAGAAGGCCGGCCTTCGGGACTCGGACCACCTATGGGCGCAGGAAGGTCCTTCGGGACAACCCTGCTGTCTAGGCCATGAAGGGGGGAGAGCCTGGACGACAATCACATCTCTGGAGGGAGGACCCCAGACTGCAGTGACCAGTGATGGACAACAGCAACCCCGTCCGGTGCGGCTCCCAGCAGGCGAGTGCACTAGCCATTGGGGGCCCTTTGCTCTGGGAGCGCTGGGACCAAGGCCTGTGTTCCTGGGAGCAGACTTTGCAGAGCTGGGAGACACAGAAAGGGAAAGCACAAAGAAAAGCAGAATTTCTGGTGGCAACAGCTAATGTAGCTCTAAGTGGCCAATAAAAAGGACTCTGGGGGGGGGAAAAAAAGAAGATATAATACTTATAAATATTTATGCACCCAATTTAAGAGCACCCAAATACGTGAAGGAAAGACTGCTAAATCTACAAGGGGAGAGAGACTACAACACACTAATTGTTGGGGACCTCAACATGCCACTTATCTCCTTTGGACCAATCATCTATACAAAAAATAAGAGATACAGGATCTAAATAATACCATAAATCAAATGGATTTGACAGACATCTATAGAACCTTTCTCCCGAAAACTACAAAATATACATTCTTCTCACATGGAACCTTTCTGAAGACTGACCAAATGATAGGGCACAAAACAAGCCTTTACAGACTCAAGGTCAATGAAACTATATCCTCTGACCATGATGGAATTAAACTTGATATTAATTTCAAAAAAAAAAAAAACACAAAAATACACAAATATATGGAAACCAAATAACCTACTCTTGAATCACTTTGCAACTACTGAAGAGATTAGGGTTGAAATAAAGAGACTCACAGAAACCAATGATAATGAGTGTAAGAGTTTCCATAATCTATGGGACACAGCAAAAGCAGTCATAACAGGGAAGTTCATAGCAATTAATGAGCATAAGAGAAAGATGGAGGGCTGGCAGTTGGCTTGGTAATTGTGACCATGGACTCCCAACCATGTGACTGACTGCAATTCGAGTCTCAGATCTGGTGGCTTGACTCCTCACTTTCCTTTCTCTATTTCTTTGTCTCTCTCTGATCAAATTAAAACAAATTAATTAATTAATTTTTAAAAATAAAGTTAAATGAGGGACCAGCAGTTAGCATAATGGCTATGCCGCTAGACTCCCATGTAGTCGACCGCAGTTCGAGTCCCAGACCTGGTGGCTTAAACTCACACCGGGCGCGTGTGTGTGCATGCCCAGGATCCCAAGAGGAGAATGGAGGAGAAGGGATTGCAGCATGGCCATCCCTCCTGGGGGGTGACTTCCTGCTTTCTGTCTGTCTGTCTCTCTCTGTCTGGCTAGAGCACACACCCTATAACAAAAACCTCTCCAAAAAAAGAAAAAAAAAAAAGTTAAATGGAAAGATGGCAAATGGAAAATCTAACATCATGCATCAGAGAACTAGAAAAACAACAAAATTCAAAAAATTCAAAAAGAAAAGAAGTAATAAAGATTAGGGTAGAAATAAATAAAATAGTGTGGTGAAAGGGGAACTCTCTTACACTGCTGGTGGAAATGTAAATTGGTTCAGCCACTGTGGAGAACAATTTGGAGATTCTTCAAAAATCTACAAATAGAACTACCATATGATCTAGCAATCCCACTCCTTGGTATCTACCCGAAGGACAGAAGAATACGTAATCAGAAAAGTGCTTGCACATCAATGTTTATTGCTGCACTATTCACAATTGCTAAGTCATGGAAATAACCCAAATGCTCACAAACAGATGAATGGATAGAAAAACTGTGGCACATATACTCAATGGAATACTATACAGCCTTAAAAAAATAAAACCCTGGTTTTTGACAGGAAGTGGATGAATATGGAAGATTTACTGCTGAGTGAAGCAAGCCAGGCTATGAAGGAAAGGCATTGCATGTCCCATTTAATATATATTGAGTGTCCGCACTCTATGACTGAAACTAATTGACTAAAGGATATAGAAACACAGTATGTAGATGTAAAAACCAGATATAGTGTGTGTGAAAGAGGAGGGTCTGAGAAAGGACATTTAGAAGAAAAAATAGGGAGGCAAAGCATTAATGGCACAAAGAAATGTGGTATTATCTGTTGAAGATATTTTGTAGTTTTATCAACTGTACTAGGGAGAAATGTTCACCTGTTGAAATATTCATTTTGTAAGACATATAATAATGTGATTGAATGTATAAAAGAAAATGAAATGAAAAATATAATTTAAAAATATAAGAAAAAAAGAATTAGAGAAAAAGAAATAAATGAAATAGAAAATAAACCAACTATACAGAAAACACATGAAAGCAAAAGTTGGTTTCTCAAAAAGATAAACAGGATTAACACACCATTAGTTGGACTAATTAAGAAGAAGAGAAAAAGGAAGCAGATAAATCAAATTCACTATTTTAACAGACACAATAGAAATACAAAAATATCATTAGAGGATACTATGAGCAACAAACAAGAAAACCTAGATGAGAAAGACAAATTCCTGGACTCATATAATCTACCAAGATTGACTCAGTAGGACATAGAAAGTCTCAATAGACCCATAACATTAGCAATGAGATTGAATCAGGAATAACTAACCTCCCAACAAAGACAATCCCTGGTCCTGATGACTTCGCTTCTGAATTCTACAAAACTTTTAAAGAAGAGTTAACCTCCATTCTACTCAAGTTATTTTTAAAGATCCAAAAGGAAGGGGACCAGCAGTTAGCGTAATGGCTATGTCACTGGACTCCCACGTAGTCGACCACGGTTCGCATTCGGGACCAAGTGGCTTAAAACTCACACCGGGCGCGTGTGTGTGCATGCCTAAGATCCTGAGAGGAGACTAGAGGAGAAGAGATTGCAGCGTGGCCATCCCCCCTGGGGGGTGATTTCTCGCTTTCTGTCTCTCTGTCTCTCTCTGTCTGTCTGGCGAGTGCACGTGCCCTATAGCAAAAACCTCTAAAGAAAAAAAAAAAAAAAACATAAAAAAAAAAGATCCAAAAGGAAGGAACCCTCCTAAATTCATTTTTTGAAGCCTCCATTACCCTCTTCCCCAGCAGCACAGAAAAGGATATGACAAGGAAAGAAAACTACAGACCAATATCTGTGATAAATACAGATGCAAAAATCCTCAATAAGATAATAGCAAACTGTATCCAACAACATATAAAAAAGATTATTCATCACAACCAGGTAGGTTTTATTCCAGGGATGCAAGGGCAGTTCAACATATATGAAATTATAAACATAATATACCAAGTTAACAGAAAAAAAGGCATCTGATCAAGTCAATCGATACAGAAAAAGCATTCAATAAAATACAACATCCTTCATGATTAAGATTCTCAGCAAAATTGGCATAGAAGGGTCATTCCTAACAAAATAAAAGCTATTTATGAAAAATCCATAGCGAACATCACACTGAAAGAGGAAAAGCTGAAAGCTTTTCCATTAAAAACTAGTACAAGACAAAGATGCCCACTTTCTCCACTCCTTTTCAACATAGCAGAGCCAATGCAATCAGAAAGGAGAATAATACCAAAGGCATCCAAATAGAGAAAGAAGAGGTGAAATTTTCTCTATTTGCAAATAACATGATTGTATACATAGAAGACCCAAGGATATCCCAAAAAAGAATCCTGAAAGTAGAAAATAAACACAGTAAAGTAGCAGGATAAAAAAATTAAACATACAAAAATCTACAGCATTTCTATATACAAACAAAAAGTTGAGGTAGAACTGAATATAGTACTCTCATTTACCATAGCTCCAAAAAGTATAAGATACTAGGAAAAAAATTTAACCAAGGAAGTCAAAGACCTCTACAAGGAAAACTAGGAAAATCTAAAAAAAGAAACTGAAAGTGACACAAAAAAATGGAAGGACATCCCATGTCTCTGGATTGGGAGAATTAATATAATCAAAATGGCAATTCTGCCCAAATTAATCCACATATTTAATGTAATCCCTATAAAATTACAAGAGACATTCTTTACAGAGCTAGAAAATACAATCATAGGATTTGTCTGGAATCATAAAAGACCCTGTATTGCCAAAGTAATCCTGTGCAAGTACAGTGGAGTAGAAGGCAACTCACTCCCTGACCCCAAAATATATTACAAAGCTGTGATAATCAAAACAACATGGCATTGGCATAAAAACAGGCAGGTGGACCAATGGAACAGAAAAGAGACCCTAGAAATAAACCCCCAAAGCATAATAGCCAGCTGATTTTTGACAAAGGATACCAGTCAATCTACTGGGAAAAAGAAAACTTCTTTAGCAAATTGTTTTGGAAAAAACGGGGTATCTACCTGTAGAAAAATGAACCTTAACTCTTATCTCTCACCATTAACAAAAATCCATGCAAAGTGAATCAAAGACCTAAACCTAAGGCCTCAAACTATAAAACTACTGGTGGAAAACACTGGAGAAACTCTGGGAGACATTGGGTAGGCAAAAACTTTTTTTTTTTTTT